AGGTCTAAGTTGAAAGTTTAAGAAATTTGCTTACATAGTGAGTTCCTGGACAGTCAAAGCTACACAGAGAAACCCTGTCTTGGGAAAAAAGAAAAAAAAAAAAGGTTTGGCCTTGCTTCAGGGAGCCCCTAATTCAGAAACAGAATCAGTGAATATTTAGAAACAAACCAGGATAGGGGAGGGAAGAACCTAATTTAAAAAACAAAACAAAACTGAACCAGTTGCATCGAACTGAAGAGCGTGGCCAGTTACCCGTGTTACTTTTGAGCGTGGTGTTTGATGGTAGGAGAGGAGCTGCAAACAAGGCCTGAGCTCCATCTTCAGTCGCCTCGTTTAGTTTGTTGGTTGTTGTTTTCGTGGTATATACAAGCAATCCTGAGTCCATTTCGGATGTAAGGTTGATCAGTGAAATGAAGATGTTGAAAGCTGGGGTTCTCACCAGGGAAACAAAAGAGAACCTGTGAGAGTGTTGAGACTCTTGGTATTGTGGGTGTCGGGGGTTTTACTACATGCATATTAGTAGGTCATGTGTTGAAGATCTTAGGTCCCCATAAGTTGCCTTCCCAATAGCAGGAAACAGAGATATTTCAGTAGCAGAGAGCCCACCTGGTGCCAAAACCCTTTTTTTCATAGTATTCCCCCTAAAAGAATCTTCTCAAAAAATAATGGCTGATTGCAGCACTGAGCTGGTTTAATACAACTCCTTCTTGTACCAGAAAGCTCTGTCTGAAGTGCTCCAGATATTATAGGTCATAACACAGGAACACGTGCCCAACTTGGAGGGACTACTTGCCAATGATGGGACAGTCTGAGTTCCAAAACAGTATATATAGCATAAGCCATTAAAAGTGGGGATCCCAGGCCAGGCGGTGGTGGCTCACGCCTTTAATCCCAACACTCAGAGGCAGAGCCAGGCAGATCTCTATGAATTTGAGGCCAGCCTGGGCTACAGAGCGAGTTCCAGGACAAGCGCCAAAGCTACACAGAGAAACCCTATCTTGGGGGGGAAAGTGAGGATCCCATTAGTGACTACCCCAGTTGTCATCGGAGAGCCTTCATCCATTGACTGGTGGCGGCAGATTCAGAGACCCACAGCCAAACATTGCTCCATGCTAGGGGAGTCTTGCTAAGGAGAGGGAGGAGGGATTGTTGGAAACAGGCAGGTCAGGAACATCATAGGAAAACCCACAGAAACCACTAGCCTGGCTCATGGGAACTCACAGAGTCTGAACCAACAACCAGGGAGCCTGCATGGGACTGACCTAGGCCCTCTGCATATATGTGACAGTTGTATAGCTTGGTCTATATGTAAGATTCCTGGCAATGGGAGCAGGGCTGTTCCTGGTGCTTTGGCTGACTCTTGGGAACCCAGTCCTCAGGGTGGATTGCCTTGCTCAGCCTGAATACAGAGGGAGGTGCTTGGTCTTACTGCAGCTTGATATGCTGTGCTTTGCTGAAGCCCATGGGAAGTTTGGAGTGTGGATGTGGGGAGTGGGGAGTGGGGAAGGAGTGGGAGAAGAAGAGGGAAGGGAGGCTGCAGTTGAGATGTAAAATAAATAAATCAATTAATAATTTAAAAAAAAGTGAGGAGTCCATACCAATAGGAAACCCATGCAGGAGAGAAAGAAGAGCACTCCCTAATAGCAGAATAAAAGTAGAGGGAAGGAAGGTATTGTTTGTAGACAGTATTGATAACTGGATCAGCAAAGAGTCTCCCCTAGATGTTCTATATAAGGAAAAATATTTAATCAAGAGCAGTGTATTTGTGTGAGTTTAAATATTACCCACGGAGCCCCAGCCCAGAAAGGTGATATGGCTGGACCAGCAGCAGCCTCACTATGTCTGCCATTTTCAATTTTCAAAGTCTGCTGCCTGAAATCTTGCTGCTTATATGTACATGTACTTATATCTGATCCTTGGCACCCAGCGTACTGGACAGAAAAAAAATGGACTGTTGGGAATATTTTGAAAGTGTGCCTGAATTGGTGAATGCAAGAGTCCTTATGTCACCATATGCTGTATAATGATGGCCTTCAGCATCCTCTTCATACAGTAGCTTTGGAAAACACCTGTGTGTGATTGCCATCAGACTTTGTAACCAAGGACTTGCCTCCAGAAAATAATGGGAAGATAACCCTTTTATCTCTGAACATGGAATGAGATAAATTTCAAGGTGCTGTTCTCTATTTTTATGCTGTTGGACCAACGAGCTATATAAATAATTAACAGTTTAATACATGGGAATGTGATTGTAGCCATCAACTTCAGTTCTTTCAATCCAGTATTACACTCTGCAAATATCATTCTGTTGTGTCGGGACTGCTTTTCGTAAGGTTCTTTTTTTTTTTTTTTTTTTATTATTATTTTATAACACCATTCAGTTCAACATAATAGCCACAGAAACCCCTGTTCTCCCCCTCTCGCCCACCCCTCCCCCCAGCCCACCCCCCATTC